TGGTCTCAGGACCTCTTTCCACCCATAAAAATTACTGAGAATCTCAAAGAGTGCTTGCTTATGTGGGTAATATCTATGAATGTTTACCAATTTGGAAATTAACACTGAGAGACTTACAGAATGTTTATTCATTAACTCATTTAAAAACTAATAAACCCACCCCAGCCGGTGTAGCTCAGTTGGTTGAGCATTGTCCCATGTGCAGAGAGGTCACTGGTTCAATTCCCAGTCAGGGCACATGCCTGGGTTTTGGGCTTGATCCCTGGTAGGGCCGGGCAGGAGGCAGCCAACTGAGTGTTTTTCTCTCTCCCTCTCCCTTCCTCTCTCTTTCTCTAAAACCAATTTTTTAAAAAACATATATTTAAAAAAAAACAAAAACTAATAAACCCATCTTAACAAGTAATATGTATTTATGAAAAATATAATAATCTTCCAAAAATAAAAATAAAATCATTAAGAGTGACATCATTTTACTTTTTTAACAAATGCCATTAACTATATAGAAAGTTTAATAGAAAAACAGCTGTAATCTCATATTTGCTTTTGTATTAAAATTTTTGCAACATCATATATCATGTAGCCTCTGGAAAACTCAACTCTATACTCATGAGAGAATGAGTTGAAATGGGGCCAAAAAAAACCTTCAGAGAATTATGACTAGTTTTGACCTCACAGATTCTTAAGGACCCTGGGCTTCCCTTTGAGGATACCTGCTCTCAAACTTCAGTGTGCATGATTTTCACTGTTAAAATGCAGATTCTGGTGCAGGGATGTGCATTCGGCCCAGGAGTCTGCACCTCTGACCAGTGCTGGTGCTGCTGGTCTGTAGACCTCACACTCATGGATTCACAGCTCTGCCTCTGCCCTGTGCTTTCTGTATTCACCCCATCAAAAGGACAGGGCACTTCCACATGGCCTCCTCTCCATCATATCCAGGGAGCAGGTGGGAGGACAGGGAGGTCTGAAGCCCACAAGGTAGCTTCACCTGAGGAGCCTGAGATGAGAAGTACACAAAAATGCCCGTGAAAATAGCATTACATTTCTTTTTATTTTTTTTAATTGATTTTAGAGGGAGAGAGAGAGGGAAGCATCCATGCTTGTGAGAGAAACATCAATCAGCTGCCTCCCTCTCACCCCTTACTGGGGATTGAGCCCGCAACCCTGGACGTGTGCCCTGACTGTAAATCCAAGCAGCAACCTTTCAGTGCACAGGACAATACCCAACCAAGTGAGCCACACCAGCCAGGCCACATTAAATCCTAATATATAAAAACCCAGAGTCTGTAACAACTGACCAAAGGTTCGACTAAACACTGGAAGTCATTCCTGCAGTCAGTGCTGGGATGCCATGGTGACCCATCACTGACTGCTGCCAGTGGGGGTGCGGTGATCCAGCACTGACTGCCAAGAGGGGTGTGGATCAGGCCCGAAGAGAGAGGCAGAGTCTGATCTGCAGCCCATGGCAGCTGTTGATCAGCCATTGCCTCTCTCTTTCTCTCCAGGCTTTGCCAGCAGCCATGCCTCTGTTTCTCTTCCGGCCTCTGCAGGTGCTGCTGATCAGCCCCGCCTCTGATTAGGCCTGGAGATAGGCCCAGAGATGCTGAATGGCATAGAAACTGACCAATGAGAATAAAATCTGGGTGAACTGTGAGAAGCCAATGGCTGCCTAGGAGGTGGAGCTTTTGATGCTGACTGGCATAAAAACCAACTAATCAGAACTAAATTGGCCGGTAGGGCAGTTGGGGGTGAGATCCGGCTGGCAGGGGAAATCAATTGGGAGCAACCAGGCCAGCAAGGGAGAGTAGTTGGGGATGAGATCAGCCTGGCAGGGGAGGGTCATTGGAGGCAAGATCAGGCTGGCAGGGAAGGGCAATTAGGAGTTATCAGGTAGGCAAAGGCAGTTGGGGGCAAGATCAGGCCAGCAGGGGAGGGCAGTTTAGGTTGATCAGGCAGGCAGGCAGGTGAGCAGGTAGGAGCCAATGGTCCCAGATTGCAAGAGGGTGCAAGCTGGGCTGAGGGAACACCGCCCCCCCTGCCTCCATGCATGATTTTGTGCACCTAGCCACCAGTTTCTTTATAAGGACAAAACACTGAAAACAATTTAAACTCCTTCTGATTTGAGGATGGTTAGCTAAATTATGTAAATTCACACGAGCTGCGCCCAGTGATGACGTGAGTCTCTCCCTGTGATCTGAAACAGAGCTCAATATAAGCACAGTATGTGGTTAAGAAAAAGGTCAAGTTACAAATCCTCTTCTCCATACAAAGGGGTTTATTATGTAAATTGATTTACATATGCATGTATGCTTTCTCTGTGTTGCTTCTGCATGAGTATGTATTATCTTCACAGTCATAAAAACAATTAAACTATCTTTAAAGCATCTGCTTGTTCCACGGGCAAGAATTTCAGTTTGTGAAGCACCCACTGTATGCGAGGCATTGGTCCAGGTGACACTGGGCTGTACTGAGCTGCCCCTGTCTTTGGATCCTGTCTGATCATTTAGAATCTGAGAGTGTTGGGACTGGTAAGACTCAACACCCACCCTCATTTCACAGAGGAGAGCTCCAAGGCCCAGAGAAGGTAACTGACTTGTGGAGAGTCACACAGCTACCGTGTTTCCCCGAAAATAAGACATCCTCTGAGAATAAGACCTACTTACAGGTTTCCTTCTGAGTGAAATATAAGGCATCCCCCCGAAAATAAGGCCCTCCCAGGCTCTGTCTCAGAATGCTATTGCTAAGCATGAGAGATTTGGCCCACTGATTCTGAAAGAAATGGAGTCACAAGAAATTCACCAGGAAATTCAGGAATTGGATTGTTATGATGATGTTCCAGAAGATGGTGACATGATTATCATTGAATAAATGAGTAAATTCTTGATACTGTAGGATTCAGTTTGTCTGGTTTGTGTTGACAACTACCGTACTACTGTATCATATACAGGTAACAAATTTCCTTTATTTTCATTTAACAATAAATGTGTACCGTATTCTTCTTCATGGAAAAATAAGACATCCCCTGAAAATAAGACCTAGTGCATCTTTGGGAGCAAAAATTAATCTAAGATACTGCCTTATTTTCGGGGAAACAGGGTAGTTATCCCAGAGACAACAGAGCACACTTAGCCCTCATCCCAGGTCTCTACAGCCAGGCTACACTGCTGCCCCCTACAGCTGAGAATGAATTGTTGTTTGAGCTGTTGATGGGGGAGGTGCTTTGGCATGGCCCGTGTTCTGGGATCCCAGTCCAGGCAAACCCAAAATGAAAGATAAAAGGTCCCTGAATAACCATTATTAGTGGGGAGGAGCCTGACCCTGCACAAGCAGAAGAGCAGCTTTGGTCGAGCCCAGGTCTGTCGACTGAAGATGTAGGCCCCGTGTCACACTGACAAGCACAACTCAACCCCTTCGCCACTTTCTATAAGAAATCCAGCACATCAAACACTGAGGTCTGTACGCTTTCCCCAGTGCGTGGGCGCTCACAGAGAGCAATAGCATGCAGATCACTGCCTGCCCCTCCAGCCCTTGTCTGGGGATTCCAACCCCTCCCACTTCCCCTTTCCTGGCTGGCCCAGCTCCGCCCAGCTTCTGATGGCCCAAGTCATCCCCTCAAGGCCCTTCCCAACAAAGAGAAACTTCCCTCCCAGCTCCCATGAAAATAAAATTCTATTTCATTGCTCGTAAGACCTTAAAAGCTTTGAAGTCCTGAGTCTTTGAACCCTGGAATCTTAGACATTGAGCTAGAATGACCCTGAAGAACACTTTGGTTCAGTCCCTCTAGTCGACAGGTGGAGAAGCTGGGTTTGAGGGGGAGAGGTCTTGCCCAAGGTACCCCGTTGGAGTACCCCGTTGGAGCCCACTCACAACTTGGGGTAGATTAGCTTCATTCTCAAACCAGAAAACCACTGCCCTCTTCTCATTCACCTTCTCCCAAGAGCTTCGGCTGACATCACTCCTGGAAGTTGGGTTGGCACAGGGAGGCCCTGCAAGAAGTCCAAAAGACAGAAGACACTGCAAAAAAAATCAGGCTGAGGGTCTCCTCCCAATTTCCAGGGTAGATCTGACCCAGACAGAGGAACAAGTTCAGGTTCAACTCCCAAAGTACAGAGGGGAGGGACAGGCAAGCCAGGCTCCCTAAGCATCTAGGCCATGTCCTTGAGTTATTCCAATCACCCTCTTTATGCCCCACAAAGAGAGATCACTGTCATCTTTTACTAAGGTCCAGGGAGGACCACAGACCTAGCTGGAGTCCCAGGGTGACCAGGGGCAGGAGCTGGTCTTCAAATCCAGGTCTGTGTGGGTCTCAAATTTGTTCTGAAACTCAGGGCTGCTCCATGAAGGCTCAGCCTGTGGGTGGGTGGGTACAGGTGTGTGGAAGGGAAGGGCATGGTGAGGGCAAGTCCCTAGAAGAGGGTCGTGAGCCTTTGTCCCTCACAATGCCTCTGTAGCTCACACAGAAGGGAGAAGAGCGGTGGTCCCAGGAACTTTCTCATCCCACCCAGCAGGGCAGAAGACAGCCAGACTGGATGCCATGAGCCAGGGTCCTAGTCTTGGCTCTGCCTCTTGTAACCAGGTACCTTAGGGTCCCCTTTCTGAGGCTCCGTTTTCTTGTCTGATGGGTTGTGAGGGGTAGAAAAAGTTGACCATAAACCTTATTCCCTCCTCGTTCCTCTCCCTCCTCTGCTCCTTGCCAGGCTTGTGATCTTTCTGGGCCTCAGTTTCTGCCACAGAATTTGGAAGGCCTCTTGGCTGAAGCCACTCCCATGCTGGACACCTTCTAGGTACAAACCAGGGCAATTATTGGGTGACTAGATGTCTCGTAGGTGTTGCTCCTGAGGTGAAAAGGACCACGCCTCCTCTTGAATTCTGACTGTCCTGCTCAGGAGTGTTCCAAGGTGTGCCCTGTTCACCTGGGTCTGGCTGGCTGCTCCCACACGCCACACCGTCCTGGCCGTCCACACAGCGAGGAGCAAAGGAAGCAAGGAGTTGCCAGCCCTGGCATGGCAGGTGAGTGGACAGGGCCTGTGGGCCTCGGGGCACAAAGGCCCCTGAAAGGAGCTTCAGGAAAGGGGGTTTACAGAATTAAACTTTGGCCATTGATTCTTAGGATTGCAGAGCTGCATGAAATGAGCTGTTCCCTGAAGTCCATGAGAACTTGGAGGTCCAGAGATAGAAAGTCCATGGCAGAGCCCTTCCGTGGCTGGGGCCGGGCCTTTCCCACATGCATTGCTGGACTGGAGGGGGGTGCGGGGGGAGAGAAAGGGAAGAGTAGAAGAAGCGGGATCTTCTCATGGATCCAGAAACACTTCTGGGCAGAGTTGGGAACTGTAGGTTGTCTGCGGAGAAGAAAAAGGCCTCATGAGTTACATCTTCTTCTGTTTCCCACCCCAAAAACTCCAGAGCAAGAGCAGTTCTGTGTGAAGTGAAAAGAGGTATGTGACCTTGAACTCTCAAGAAAATTTGCCCTTGGTGCCTTTATTTTCTCACCTGCAAATGGGGATTATAATAGAAATCATCTCATAGGCCTGCTGTGAGGAATTAATGAGACCAGTGAATGAACAGCACACTTAGAAAATGTGCCTCCATCTCTGGCCTCAATATAGTGAGGGGCAAATTCCTCTCCCACCATGGGGATTTGTCCATTAATTAACAATAACATATTTTGCACCAACTCTGTGATAGAAGCTGGGGTTCAGTGATGAGCAGGTCAGCAGATGCAGGAGTCTTATTCTCAGAGATCTTTAAAGGATGTTTCTAATTCTATGTCTCTTGTTTTCAATTGTTCAGCATCATGTGACAATTATGTGAGTCAACTCTTGTTTATTTTCATTTCCTTGCCACTTGAACTTCCTCTCCCCTGGCAGAGTAAGGCCATCCTGGGCCATTCTGGCTCTTGGGATGGGTCTGCTCCCTGAGGACCAGGCCTCACCATCCGTCTCACTCCCCATACCACAGTTTCTCTATTAGGCCTGTTTTGCAAAAGACTGGCTTTGCTTCTTTCAGGATCTGCTTTTCAGGGGTCACCTAGAAGTCCTTTTCCCTAGTCTGTTAATTTGCTGGGTGACCATTCTTCTCTCTGAACCTCGATTTCTCCCTCTGTAAAACATCAGGGTTAGATCCATCATACCTACGATATAATCTAACTATTAGTTAGACTGAATTCAATTCCCCAGTCTTCTGGGATTTTCCGACTTCCTGGCTTCTTCAGAGAAGCAGACCAAGCCTACCCTGCAATCTGTGCATGGATGACAGACATGGGATCCTGGATGGAAAGTACGTGGCCTGCGTGCGACTCTTCATCTCCCTTCCCTCACACGGTCCATGCAGGCATCACTAGTTGAGCTTGGATGTGGCCTGGCATTCTCAACATAGTTCAAGCAGTCCCTACACTTGATCAGTGTTAGTCATTGAAATGAGACCCTTTTGCTGTTATTGAAATACCATGATCTTTTGGTTCAGAAATTCTAAGAATCAATAATACTCTCTGTGGGGTTGACTCTGGCTGGGACATTGGGTTGGAGCTGGTGGGCCACTGACTACTGGTGAGAGAGAGGCCAGCAGCTTCCAACAGGACCAGGAAGAAAAGGGAGATTGGGCAGTAGCCCCAGGCACCTCCTCAATTAACCATTTAGCTATGGAGGTCAGGTGCCCATGATGCACATTAAGGATAGGGCCATAATAGGGCCCATTAAAAACCAATTACGTGGAGTCCAGAGTCTGGGAGATGTTGCTAGCTTCAGCAAAGCCTCCTGGGTTCAGCCCCACTGGGTGCCATTCAGGGGCTGGAACAGAGATCTGGGGAGGAGAGCATCATCAACCTTTTGATGTCACTCAAGGGCAGGAGGATGAACAGCTGGGGTGAACTGGGGGTAAGAAGCAATCTTCTGCACATAGATCCTTCCCTCCAACCAGGACTCTTTCTTAGGCTGATCTCTAGGAGCAGAGGCTGAGCAAGTGAGCTGGAGAGATGAGGTTGGCAGGGATTGGAGGAGGGAGGGATCAGTAGGCAGGGCCAGACTGTGAGGGTCCTTGAATGCCAGACTAAAGGTTGTGGATTTTTTTGGCTCCTGAGCAGGGAAAATGACATGCTGACTGCTGTGCAATTGGGAAAGTCTGTTCCCATGGCTGAGCCTCACCAGTTTCTCCATAGTAATTAATAGGATGGATTGAACTGGATGACATAAAAGTGTTCTGAGGCTGTTGGGGCCAATCATAACTTTAAGCAAGAGGGAAGAGTTTAAAAAAAAAAATAGGAAGGGCAGAACCAAAGAGAAGGGGGAGATTTGGAGAGACAAAGGCAACAATGGAAAAATCCCATCTATTGACTTCCTCACTGCAGACCCAGCACTGTGCTAAGTACCTTGTAAGTGAGGAGCCCACTCACTCTGCATGGAGCTTGCTGTGCTGGAGTGTTCATAAATGCCTTCTCCTTCCACTCTCAGAATTTCCAGATTTAGGTGACCTATTTTCTCATTATCCTGTTTATAGTCATTATCTCATCCTCCCCTAAACTATGAGGGAGATATTATTATTTCCACTTTTCAGGAAAAGAAATCTGAACCTCAGAGAGGTCCATTAACTTATCCAGAGCCACACAGCCGAACAGTGGAAGATTCGGGATAGCAGTGATTGGCAGAACACCGGAATGGCAGCCAGGAGTCCTTGGGCAAATACTGATTATGATAATATGATTAATAAACGTGCATTTTCTGAGTACAATATGTGCCATACTCATATAAAGTACCTAGAACACATAGAGTTCTAGGTACTCTATATAAATTATTTTGTTTAATCCTCACAACTCAAGAAGGCAGCTACTATCATTACTCCCATTTTCAATAGGAGACTAAGATTCAGAGAGGTTTAGTCACGTGCCTCAGCTCACACAGTCAACAAGCAGCAAAGTCTGCAAATGTGTGCCTCTGAATTTGGGCTCCTAATTGCTACTCAGAGTGGAAAGGAAGGCCAAGTGAGGAAGTGGGAGAGAGACAAGACAGAGGGCAGCAAAGCTAGAGGGGCTGAGAGGCTTTGGGGTGACAGAGTAGGTGGAGAGAATGCTCTCACGACACCCCTCTCTTCCTGTGTCAGGTGGGCACAGCCTCAGGCCTGGGGTCCTTGAGTGTGGGCCTGGGAGCTCACCTTGCATATCCCAGGGGAGGAGCCCAGAGTCTCACAACATGCCATTTACTCTGTCCTCAGGACCTCGGGTGAGCTGTCAACCAGACAGGCCCCTGACTGTCTCTTCCAACTCTTCCCCGGCGCCCACCAAGGTGCTGAGTGACATGAGTCAGCAGAGTCTGGCAGGGGTTGTGGGGAGGGACTGAGAGGAGTCATGGGGGTGTCAGAGGCACTTGGTTCGGCAAACCACAGACTATCCAAACCCTAAGAATCCTGGATCATTTCACAGGTAAGAAAACCAAAGCTCAGGGAGAAGCCACTTAGCCTGAGTCCCACAGTGAGCCAGTGGCAGGTTAGTGTGCCTGGACTCAAGGCCACACACTCTGCCACTCCTGGACCCATCCATGACAGTAGGAAGAAGGAAGTCAGGAAGAGCAGGTTTCAGAATGTGACAGTTTGAGAGGGAGAGGGATTATGGGTGGGGTGGGTGGCTGGGGTGGCTGGGGAGTGAGCACTGATCCTTGAGGGCATGCCTGGAAGCTGGTGAGCATCAGCTCCCCTTTTCACACTTTCACCCCAGTCAAGGGTCAGGGACATATAAGCAATGAACTATAACCCAGCTTCCCTGATGATTGATTGGGAACAATTGGAGTCTCAGAGAGCAGAACCTGAGCTGAGCACATGGAGGAAGTGCTGTTGGGCTTATTTTGATAAGGGGTCTGGACCCTGGCCTTGAGCTCCCCTCCCCGGTGCCCATCAGTCCCGGTGAGGGCTGGGGAGCACGATGGCTAGGGCAGAATCGGTTGTATTCACTGGGGCAGTTGCTTTCCCCTCTGCAGGATCCTGGCCTGAATATCAGTGCACAAATGCCACGTCATGGGGTGTGATGCTGATGAGCACAGAGGACTTAGATCACCAAAGAAGCAGCTCTGGGGACAGGTCACATGGGGACCACAGGTCCCCAGTGACCTCCTGGGATAAGGCAGGTGTAGAGTTGGTGGGGGTGGGGGCGGCAGGTTGGGGTTTCTTGGTAATGCTTGGCAAAATCATCAAGGAACAAAAAGGACAGGTGTGTTTCTTCCGTGACAGTAACAGAAGGGCAGAGTGCGGACATATGGGGACAAATAGAGCAAAAAAAAAAAAAAAAAAGACCTTCACTTAGCGGAAAGAAGGACTTTTAATACCTAGGTAGTGGGTCTGCTGCCTCTGAGAGGTATGCGAGCTGGAACCCTGATCAAGTATCCACTGAGAACTTGACCCCAGGAAGGAAGTTGCAAGGGAGATGGTCCTTGAGATTTAGGGATGATGATGATAATGGTAGTCCTGACTCATCCCACCCTTCTTACCCCCTGTGATGAGGCTTCAGATGCCCAGAGGGTGGTGGGAACCAGTTTGGTCTGTGATGGGGAGAGGGGAAGCCAAGGCAGAATTCTCAGGACATGAACCTCCTCACCTCCTAACCTCCACACCTCCCCCCGCCCCCATACACACACACACACACACACACACCTTGTAAGCCCCCTGGGGCATGCCAGAGCTGAGATAATTACAACTTAATAACCTCACCCCCTGCACCTGACTCATCCTCTAAAAATAAAAAAGAAATTGCATCCTGGTCTGGCCTGTCCCAACATCGGTTGTGGCTTGTCTTCGTAGACTTCAGCTTCAATGTGCCCTCAGATAAGAAGTCCCTTTCTTCCCAACTCTGGGTCTCAATTTCTGTCAATAAAATGGAGACTTGGACTTCCAATGGTCCTGCCAGCTCTGCGGCTGTTATTAGATTAGCCAATCCTATGTACAAGGTAAGGGGGGGTTCCTGCCTATGTTTTCAGGCTAACCAGAGGTCGCCTAAGATCAAAGCTCTGGGACTTGAGAGGTCTGTTCCTGCCCAAGAACTCCTCGGTGGGGAGGCTTCAGTCCTACTTTCAAATGTGAGAATTGGCGAGTGGGAAAATCCCCTGGCATTATTGTTCCAGCTTTTGCCACCAGGGGGCACTGTTGAACAGGGGTCCTGCACAGTTCTCGCTCACCCACCACAACAGTGGTTGTAGGAGCTACCAAATTTGGGACACATGTGTCAGCTGTGTAAGTTCCTATTCATGTGTTCAGTCATTATCCCCAAATCATGATGCCAGGTTAGGGCTTCCAGCCAGGGCCAAACCAGAACTACCCTTTTCCAAAAATCTCAGGCCTAGGTATTGAGACTAGCACCAGCCCATTTCTCACAGTAGAGACCAGTTAGAAGGCTTTCCCAGTCTGGATAAGAGAGACTCAGTAGCTTGGCCTAAGGTAGCAGCAAAAACAGAGACAAGGGATAGATTCAGGGCAAGTTTTGGAGGTGGTGCCATGTCTACTTGATGATGGATTGGATATGGGATGTGAAAGCAAAAGGGAGTCAAAAAAGATTCTTTGGTTTGAGCCTGATCCTCAGAACAGATGGGATGCCAGCCACCAAAATGGGGAGAGCGGGAGACTTGGGGATGAGGTAGAGAGGAAATCAAGAGTTCAGCATGTTGGCTTGGATTTGTCTGGAAGACCAGCAAACGGAGATTTCCGGTAGATGGTAGACTATATTGTTTGTATTTCAAAGAAGAAATCAGGGTGTAAACTTGGGTGATAACAGCAGCATACCTCCATCAAGACCACTTTCTTTTATCAAAAAACTTCCAGTAATAGTGAACCTCAAAGGCAAGAGTTTAGGGGCTCAATTCTTTCCTCCTGAGATGCTCCTTAGATAAAGGTACCCACATCAGAGGATATTGTTAGACTCATAATTATATATGCTAGCTATTCATCTTACTATTTTTATTTTCATGTTTGAGGGCAGAATGGCTGTCACATTCCCTGGGAAGTGTTAGCCAGCCTCCACATTTGAGTTTAAATGTTGGAAAGAAGAAGTGAATGTTATTGTTGAAGAGGGGTCCTAAAGATTTCATGTTGCAAAGTTCAGCATGTATGAATCAACAACCTAAACTAGGATGCTAAAGATATGTCATGTTTACCACTTAAATCACATTAAATTTAACTTTGAATTCTGATTCCATTGGACTTGTCAGAAAACTCCATCCCAGTTATCATTATGTTGGTTATCTGCTGCTGTGTAACAAGCCACACCAGCACATACAGGCCTACAATAGCAACCATTCTTGCTCTCATGAACCTGCCATTTAGACAAAGCTCATCAGGGACAGCTGTGTCTGCTTCATTTGGTGGCAAGTGGGACAGTGTGACTGGGGTCTGGAGAATTTGCTTGCAGGATGGCTCACTTCTCTGGCTGCCCAGTTGGCGCCAGCTGCTGCTGGCAGTTCAGCAGTCTATTGGTTGGAGGTCTCAGACCCTCTCCGTGGGCCATTTGGCTTTTTTCATGGCAGGGCACTGGGTTCCAAGAGCAAGCAACTCAAGGAGCCAGAGAGAAGATGCATCAACTTTTATGACTTATCCTTGGAAGTCACAAAGTGCCATTCTGTTTTCACCACAATACCTTCCAGATTCAGCAGGAGGAGAAACAATGGGAGGAGAAATAACACGGCAAAATCATCTTTGGAAAATACAATCTGCCACGCCCCTAACCGAAAAGTTACATGAAGGTTCGAGAGTCTTTAAAAAGCCAAACACTGGCCAGATGAACTATTGCTCTGATGTGCATGGTCCAAGCCCACGTTGTGTTTTAAGAGTCTGGGACTTCTGGGTTTTTTGTTTGTTTGTTTGTTTGCTTGCTTGCTTATTTATTTGTTTTTAACTCTTGTGGAGTCAAAGGTCATGGCAACATAGCCTCGATGTTCCAAACAAGCACAGACTCGGAAGCCAGATTCCCAGCTCCATCACTTACAGGCTGTAAGACTCAGAGCCTCCGTTTCCTCATCTGTGAAGTTGGAACAGGTTTATGAAGATTAATGAGCTAGTATTTATAAAATGCTTAGTTTTATAAATGCTTGGTTCATAGGAGGTTTTATTAAATTGTCCAGCCAAGAATGACTGAGCACTTACTGTACACTAGGTACCAAATAAAATAGAGCCAAGAGCCCCATGGCGGGTGCCCCTGGGCAGGGAGTACGTAATGACATCACTTCAGTGGTTCTCGAGTGTGGCAGATTGTATTTCATAGGATGGTCATATTAATATATATCTCAGCTCACACGTTCTTCTTACAATGTGGCACTGACCCGTTTTCATCAAGGGTGGGGTGTGTTCCTTCCCCTTAAACCTGTGTGGACCTTTGTAATGGCCTTGACCGATAGCATATGGTAGACAGAGTGCAACTTCTAAGGTTTGGTCATAACAGGCATCGCAGCCTCCAACTTGGTCTTTTGGATCTCTAGATCAGGGGAAACTAGGTGCCATGCCGTGAGGACACTTCCCAAAGCTTGCGCTTAGATGTTTGAGATCAATCTGCTCTTCTGCTGGACTATCAACCTCCTGGTGGCAGGGCGAATGTGTGCTTCATGGCCATTGGGCCTGCAGCACCCAGCACAGCTCCCGACCTCTGAATGAATGAACACTGGAGTAGATGGAGGCGGATGGAGGGAGAGGATGCATGGGTTGAGGCTGGTTATGCCACCCACCTTTCCACTGGAGACACCCAATCCAGTTCAAGACAGTCTAAATGCCCCCTCCTCACGCGAGCCTCACCATCACCTGCAGACCAGGCTAGGCCCCTCTTTTACACTTTCTTTCAGTTCCACGTACTTTGCCTTAACAACCTATATGAGAGTGATAGTTATTTGTGGACTCACCTATTTAGGTGTCACCTTGCTCATCTGGAATATAAAGCTCTGGCCCTAGCTGGTTTGGCTCAGTGAATAGGGCATTGGCCTGTGGACCAAAGGGTCCCAGGTTTGATTCCAGTCAAGGGCATGTACCTTGGTTGCAGGCTCCTCCCCAGTCTGGGTCCTGTCATGGCTCAAGAAGGAGACAACCAATTGATGACTCTCTCACATAGATGTTTCTCTCTGTCTTTCCCTCTCTCTCCTACTCATCCTAAAAATCAATGAAAAAAAATCCTCAGGTGAGAATTAACAACAATAAATAATTAATTAACTAACTAATTAATTAAAATTCTGTCCTTGAGGCTCCAAATGACAAGCAGTTGTCCTCGACAAAGTATTATTATTCCCACTCTACAGAAGGGTATCTTGGAGCACAAAGAAATCAAGCAGAAGGTCATTTAGCCTTTAGATGACCAAGTCAAGATTTGAACCCACATGAGCTGATCCCAAAAGCTGTGCTCATGACTGAGCCACAGAGCCTCACTGTGTATCTCTACAGGAAAGCCCAGATCCATCTTACTGACCAGTATATCCCAGGGCCAGTCTGGCACAGAAAATACACAGTCAACCCCCATGTTTGTGGATTCCGTGTTTGCAAATTGGCCTACTGGCTACAATTTATTTTTAACTCCAAGTCAATCCTCATGTGGGGACTGAAGAAAATCGGGTGGCCTAACATGTGTGCTACCAGCTAAAGTGGGAAAAGGAGATGTTCTGTCTTCTTATTCCTGCTCTTGTATCAGGAGCAGAAACAGACAAACAAGTGTCCTTTTGCAGTCTATTTAATGCCACATTTTCTGCGTTTTTGTCTTTTTGTTGGTAACTTTGCAGTTTAAAATGGCCCCAAGCTTAGTGCTGAAACACTGTCTAATGTTCCTAAGCAAGGGAGGGTACAACATGCCTTATGGAGAAAATGCATGTTAGCTAAGCTTCATTAGGCCTGAGGTACAGTGTTATCCGTGTGTAATGTTAATGAATCAACAATATATTCAAGTAGGGGCCCAGTGCACAAATTCGTGCACCTTGAAAGCAACTGTGGGCCACGATGCTGCCAGTAGGCTGCAGGTAGGCACAGGGGTGGGTCTCAGTCCATCCTCCACACCCCCACCAGGCCCCTTCCACCGTGCCTTCTCCCCTACCTATCTACTGGCAGCCCCGCTCCCACTGCTGCCACTCCCACATGCTGATGGCACACACCCCACTTGCACCCACTGATGACGTGAAGCGATTGAGGCCAGTGCCAGCAGCAGGTGCAAGCAGGGTAGCACCATTAGCAAGTATGAATAGCGGCTGCTGCCCCTATCACCCTCAGGAGCAGGGGAAGGCGGAAAAGTTCTCAGGGGCAATCAGGGCCAGCAGCTGCTGCTCCCATCACTGATGGTGCTTTGTGATCGGACCCAGCAGCAGGTGCTAGCACTGGGTGGGACTGCAGTGGATGGGAGCAAAAATTTTTCAGTAACCACCAGAGGCTCTCCCGGATGATAGCACCCGGCACCCCACCTTAGTCTGGCACCTCTGCTCACCTGCTCTCCCTTCCCCCTGTGGCCAACACCCATCATGTTTCTCACATGCCCTCTGGTGGTCAGTGAACATCAGACCGACCAGTTGTTCGGTTGTTCAGTTGTTCCACTGTTTGGTCTATTTGCATTTTAGCCTTTTGTTATGTAGAATAAGATGCCTTTAAACAGAAACACTCACAAAACAGGTTATATATTGATTGGCTGATAAAAAAAAAAAATTGTGACAAAGGCTCACAGGAACCTAGCCCTGTACTTGCCCTAGGGCAGTGGTTCAGTGGTCACTAATTCACTGTTCACGGAGACTTAATAGAACATAACTGTCACAAATACCCAGGATCTACTGTATGGGACAACTAGTGGCCACGTGAGCACATGGCTGGCAGGCTGAGGCAGATGGGAGGGCAGCGGTGAGAAACATGCCACGGGCTTGACCTCATCTCCCTGTCCTCTCCCTCAGGGATCAGAGTCACGGAGGTGGACTGGCAGTGGCCAAGGAATGGTGCGGCCCACCACACCCAGGAGTACCCCGGCCCTGAGCTGGTGGTTCGCAGGGGCCAGATGTTCACCCTCGTGCTGGAGCTGAACCGTCCCCTGGACAGCAAGGACACCCTCATCTTCACAGTGGAGACAGGTAACTGGCTCACAGAAGCCTCCACTGGTCCACAGTCAGAAACACTTGTCTTGTGATCAGTGACCTGAGGTCCTGTCGTCATCAGCCCAGACGTGGGGGCAAACAAATCCCGACAGGTGGGCTGAGCCCTGGATCCTGGACATTTCTGATGACAGCTTTCTGGGGGTGGCTGGGAGGAGCTGCAGCAGGCAGTGGGACAGACAAGATGACAACTCTGGAATCCTGAGGACACCAAGGGTTCTGGGAGGTACCAGAAGTCAGCAGGCACCTTTGGAGCCCACGCCCTTCTTTCCTGGCCAGGCAAGAGGCGGACTTTGGTCTCGAAGGGGTCTGTCACTTTCCCTTTGATCCAGGAAGCGGGTGCGAGTCAGGACAGCTGAGTACCCCATTCTGCCAAGGGCCCAATCTTGTCTTGGGCAGGCTCTTCCCCACAGCAATGTCCCAGGCCCCGACCCTCGGCTTTCCCACTTTTCCGGAACTGGATTTCCTAAGGTCTCTGGGTCTCCTGAGTGCCTCTCCTCTCCTCCAGGGCCCCAAGCTTCTGAGGCTCTCGGCACCAAAGCCATGTTCACGACATCGGAGCTGGAGGTGGGAGACGCCTGGACGGCAGCGAGGGCAGCTCAGAAGGGGAACACGGTGACCATCCACATCACTAGCCCTCCCGACGCCGTCATCGGCCGCTACGGTCTGAGCGCCAGGCTCTCCTCCCGCCGCAGACACAGCGACCGGAAGCTGGGCGAGTTTGTTCTCCTCTTCAACCCTTGGTGCCCAGGTAGGAGCTGCCAAGTCCGAGCCACAGGCTTTCCTGGGAGCTGTCCTAGAGGAGGCCAATTGTCCTTAGAAAGAGCCTGGGAGGCAGGTCCATGGCTAGGGAGGCCAATGCCAAGAGCTTGGGGAGAGCCAGGCCTCGGTGGAGGTGGGCACTGCAGAGGATCAGTGGAGGTGGGCACTGCAGAGGATCGGTGGTTTCTGGGCGCAGAGGCCGGTGGGCAGCAGTGGGGCCTGAGGCAGCAGGGGCCCAGGAGTGGGTAAGAGCTGGGTTTTAGCCATCAGACAGCGTTGGTTCGGTCCTGGCTCTCCTGTTGCTTGAGTCTCAGTTTTCTCACCTGTAATATGGGAATAACAGCCTACCTCTAAGGGTTATGGTGAGAATTCATAGCACTAATGCTTGTAATGTACAATCACATTATGAGGGGTCTGGGATCAGTATTATTAGTATTTAAGAAATATGAGGTTGCTGTTGGCACCAGTAGGGTCAGCCAAAGACATGAGGATTCGTAAAATCCTTTGGTCTTGGGCTGGGTTGGGGTTGCCCCCTGTCTGGGAGAGATCGCCAGGTGGAATCGAGCTTGGCCTCCAGACAGCCCAGGAGCCCAGCAAGCTCCTCCTGGCCTCCCCTGCCAGCCAGCCTCCCAGCACCTCCTGCAGCTGGTTCCTGCCGAGCCCCTTTGACCTCTGCTTTTCAGAGGATGACGTGTTTCTGGCTTCGGAGGAGGAGAGACAGGAGTACGTGCTCAACGACAGCGGGATCATCTTCCGAGGCGTGGAGAAGCGCATCCGAGCCCAAGGCTGGAACTTCGGGCAGGTCTCCAGGGGCACAGGCCACCAGGGGGACGTGGGCCGGGGCAGGCAAAAACTCATCCCAGGAGCCCTTTCTCCCCGGGAGGACACGCTGTCCGGCTCCTGGAGCAAATTCCTTCCTTCCTTCCTTCATCTGTATTAGTTGGGTCAGGGCCTGCACTGGGCCCTGGGGAAGGCGACATGCTTTGGATGCACTTGGAACAGTCAGCTCTGCTGCAGAAAGCTAAATAGCTTCGATCAAGAGTTCTCAGTCTCAAGTCCACACCAGCATTACGTGGAGGGCTCCTGAGAACACACCGGGGGGCTGGGCACCACCCCCAGAGGGGCTGACTCATGAAGGGGTGGGGAGGGGGTGAATTGCATTTCTAATGGGTTCCCAGGTGAAGCCATTGCTGCCTCTCTGGGGCCACACCTGAGAGCCTCTGGCTTAGATAAATACAGTACCGGCCCGATGGGCAGAGGAGAGTCAGGGCAGTTGAGATGGGAGCGGAGGGCGTTCAGAAGAGATAAAAGGAAACGCCCCCCGGGGCTGTGGGAGGCCACGTGGTGTGAACGGGGCTGGTGTCCACAGCTGGGCGGGACCGGGATGGGCAGAGGGAGGAGCAGACAGGGCAGCAGGAGGGGACGGAGGAGGGTGCCGAGGTTCTGCTGCCCAGCCAGGAGAGGGGTGGCAGGCAAGGGAAGGACCTTGACTGCGGGCTGAGGATTGGGTGTGGAAGACATTTGGGGTCGGTGGCTGGGCGGGGATGATACCCTTCTCAGCATCCACTTCTTAGAGTCACGTGGGAAAGTGAGGGCTCCCAGACCCTCAAAATTTTCCATTTTGTACGTAAAAACCTCCCAGTGCTTCAGTGAATTCGACCCATTTGCCAATTAATTCAAATGCAGCTGGAAAAAAAAAAATCATAAAAGCCACACGAGGATGCCAGTGGGGTGGATGTGACTCCGGAGCCACAAGTGTACACCACTGACTGCGGGTTCTGGGCAGCCACGGGGGCTACTGAGCAGGAGAGGGCATGGCTAGGGCTGAGCTTCTGGTTCCCGGGTGACTACTGAGGAACGGTTTCTGAGTCTTGGGATGCCCTGTGGGGCCCTGGCACGGGGTAGAGGGGAAAGAGGGGGTTATAGGGAGGCAAACTCCCCTGCACAACACAAATGACCGACTGGGTGAGGTCGTGGGAGGGTCTAGAATGTGGTTGAGGCTCTGGCTCTAAGCACAGCCTCTCTGGGCACAGTTTGAGGAGGACATCCTGAACATCTGCCTCTCCATCCTGGACCGGAGCCCCAGTCACCAGAACGACCCGGCCACAGACACGTCCCACCGCCACGACCCCGTCTACGTCACCAGGATCATCAGCGCCATGGTGAGGAGCCGCCCTCCCGCCAGCCTCTTGTTTTAATTCTCTGCCGCTGCCCAACAACCCGCCCGAAACTAACTCAGGCGTGCAAAACAGCCATTTGTTGTGCTCACAGTTTTGCAGATCGGGGACTGGGGCAGGGCACCGTGCGAACGGCCTGTCTCCGCTCCCAGATGCTTGGGCAGGGAGCGTCTGAGCGGCTGCAGGTGTCTGGGACGGACTGATGGGACCATCTATCCGGGCGGTCAGTGGTTCTGGCGGCCCGTGTCCTCTGGCAGCCCTTGGTCTCTCCCCTGCCGCGCCTGCCGGACGGGATGGGGAAGATGGCTTGTTCTCCTTCCTGGCTGGCGCTGGGAATGAGGTTGTGGGAAATGCTGGGGCTGCCAGTCACCGCTCTGCCTCTCCATGTGGCCGGCTTGGGCTTCCTTGGAGCAGGGAAGTCTCAGGGCCATCAGGCATGGCCGCTGGCCTCTCCCCACCTGATGGTTCCAGAAAGAGGAAGTCGGAGCCGCCAGTGGCACAGGTCTGGGCCTGGAAACCGGCGCCACCTCACTTCCACCACAGTCCTTGGCAGAGTAGTCACCGCAGCCAGATCGGGGAAAGGGCACACAGACTCACCTCCGGGGGAGGGCGGCCACCTTCAACCCCTTCCACACCGGCCCTCCCTCCTCAGTGAAGGCCTTGCCGCTCTCTGAGAGGAAGCAGGTGTTAGGCCAGGGGTTGAGGATCGCGACTACCGAATGGACAAAGCTGCTTTTCTCTGTTTGATTCTCAGTCCCCCGGACCTCAGAGAGATGGTGGAGCCCTGTACCTGTGGCCAGGCCTGACAGTAGGGCACTAAGGCCCTGGGCCCGAGTCCTGACCTCCTTTTACTCACTTGCTGGGTGGCCAGGGCAAGTCCCTTAACCATTCTGAATTTCTCTCTCTCTCTCTCTCTCTCTCTCTCTCTCTCTCTCTCTCTCTCTCTCTTTAATCTAAACACAAAAGTAAAATAATAGAACCTACTTGAAGCAGGCTGATAACAGCGTGCTCAAAGCGTTAGAGGCGTGCCTGGCACCCGGGGAGCATTTATTGAAGGTTAGCCATCTCCGTAATTCTTATCCCACCAACAGTTCCCCAAATCACACCATTTAAACAGGAAATGCTCTAAGACTGTAGATGATTTCCAATGACAGAGTAACCCGATGGGAGGTCACTGAACGTAGTAAGTGGTAGCGAAAAGTGGAGATTTTAAGACAATTAAAATTTCAGACAATTTAAAAGCAAGGGGTGATCCCCTCCCCTTGGACTGGGTGGTCCAAAGCTGGGGGTGACGTTACGATGGTGAGGCTGCCGAGGCGGGGAGCCCTGCCCGGGGGTGACCCATCCGTCTGTGCAGGTGAACAGCAACAATGACCGGGGCGTGGTCCAAGGCCAATGGCAGGGCAAGTACGGCGGTGGCACCAGCCCCCTGCACTGGCGCGGCAGCGTGGCCATCCTGCACAAGTGGTTCAAGGGCAGGTTCAAGCCGGTGAAGTACGGCCAGTGTTGGGTCTTCGCTGGAGTCATGTGCACAGGTACTCCAAAACAAGGCCAGTTCTCTCAGTTACATGCATTTGCATAGATCTTCCCCCCCCCCCCCAAAAACACACACACACACACACACACACACACACACACACACACACACTTTCTTTCCTGGTGAAAGGGAAATAGAAGTCTGGTTAATGAAGAAAGAAAGCAGATGGTTCATTTACGTGACTGTGGATCATGTATTTGGCCGAAGGAGTCCCACCTCCCTCCGCCTGGGCAAATCCTGTGGCCCCACGGCCTCCGTCCCCTCAAATTTCCAGGCTGTTGGTCACATGGCTTCCTGCCAGCCTTGGAGCCCGTCCATTCAAAAGTGGGGGAGGGGGCCGCAGCATCCCCAGAAGTCCCCTCACAGAGGGTAGAGGGGATGGTGGTGTTTGTGCGCGTGGAGACAGGAGTCCCGGCCCTGACAAAGTAGACAAAGACGGGGAGGAGCCTGTGGTCAGAAATGAGGGGGGCAGCAAGCTGGGGGAGCCAGACCCCAACCCAGTGCAGGGTCCTGGCCTGCTCCGGAGCCTCACCAGCCTCCCGTCTTTCAGTCCTTAGGTGCCTGGGGATCGCGACACGGATTGTGTCCAACTTTAACTCGGCCCATGACACAGACAGGAGCCTGAGTGTGGACAAATACGTTGACTCCTTTGGGCGGACCCTGGAGGACCTGACGGAAGACAGCATGTGGTGGGTCCCTGGCCCGCTGGGTCCCAGCGGCTCCCTGAGGCAGTCCCCAATCCGGAGCCCGACTCTCCTGAGTTGAGCCAGTTCTGGGAGGAGTGAGAGGCACCCTGTGTGGGGTGGGGGGTCCTAGGCAGGGTGACTCTGCTGAGATGCAGGAGTGTTTGGACACGTGACTCGGAGGTCACGAGGGGGCTCGAGGTCTGACTGCCTTGAACCTTGGTCCTCCCCTCTGGAGAGTCCTGTGACTATCATATTTCTTAGAATAGGAAACGCACTCCTGTGCTTTGAAATTCCAAAGGTACAAAATGGCCACCGTGGTACATCGCCCTCCCTCCCAGGCCCGGCCTCCCCGTCCTCCTCCCGGAGGCCGCACTGGGATGAGCTTCTCCCGTCTCTTCCCAGAGCCTCTCTGCAGACACAAGAACATGCACGTGGAGAGCCCCCTTTCACACCTGCTTTTTCACATTGGCAGCGTGTGTAACTAGGCAGACCTCGTCTTCTTGCACGTTTTATTATTGCTCTTCGCTTTATTGCACTTCACAGATGTTGCCTTTTTGACGAATTGAAGGCAAGATGCCCTCAGCAAAAAAATCACAGCTCGTTTATTGTGATACCTCACTTTATTGCAGAGGTCTGGACCCAAACCCAAAACATCTTCCAGGCCTGCCTGTACTATCACCTTTACATGTTTTACACGTAGCATGTAAAGTTTTACAGGTAACAACTTTATATCAGTACATTCAAGGTTTTCTTGTTATTTGTAGTGTGTAAAATAATGTCACACTAGTGAGTGAGAGGCCCAGTCCTGAGTGCTACGTATATACTAACTCACGTATCCCTCCAAAGAACCGTGTGAGCGAGAGAGTATCATTATCTCTATTCTGCTGATGAGGAGCCTGAGCACAGAGAGGTTAGGTGACTTGTCTAAGGCCGTACAGCTAGCGAGTGGACCAGCAGGGTGCGCACCTGGTCTGCCTTTCGGTTCTATGGGAACCATCATTGTTTACCGAACCATCTCACATGGATGGGCCGGATGGTTGCCTTTTATAAACAAGGCATCAGTGAATAACCTCGTCCGAATGGTTATACGTACGAGTTGTCTCACAAGTCAACTTTTTAAAAAGCAGAGGAAACCAGGAAGAGCATACAACCCAGAGCACAGACAGCCTTGGTAACCCTGGCCTGTGAGTGTCCTCGCCCCTCCAGGGAGTATGCCCAGGAGCCCTCCCCCGACCCTTCTCCTGCCTCACATCACCTGCCTCTCTTCTCCCCTTTCCTTTTCTCTCTCTCTCTTTTTTTTTTAATAAATATATTTTATTGATTTTTTTTTTTTACAGAGATGAAGGGAGAAGGATAGAGAGTTAGAAACATCGATGAGAGAGAATCATCGATCAGCTGCCTCTTGCACACACACACACACACACACACACACACACACACACACACACTGAGGATGTGCCTGCAACCAAGGTACATGCCCTTGATCGGAATCGAACCTGGGACCCTTCAGTCTCCAGGCCGACTCTCTATCCACTGAACCAAACCGGTTTTGGCATTTCCTTCTCTTTTTGCTTCTCTTCGTTCCCTGTCCCCCCAGGAGCGCCACCCAAAGGAACAGACCTTGGTTTGGATGCTGGGGCCTCTGTCACATGCAGGCTATCACTGTCTTCCTGTTTGCCCCCAGTGCTTATCAAGATGTCTTCCCAAAGACCATCACCTACCAAACGAGGGTTCAGAGGCAGCTGTAAAGATGCCACATTGGGCCAACGAGGTTTCTCTCTGCTGCTTCCTTACCGTGTGACCCCGTGTCACCTTTCCTCGTCTCACAGTCTCATCTTTAACGTAGGAAACTTAAAATAAAGCCTGAGCTCCTTACCAAAGCCTACAGAACTCTGCTTACTCTGAACCCTACTTGCTCCCCGTGCTTGCTGTGGCCCAGAGATACTTACATGCTCTCTGTTCCTTGAGCACACTGAAGCTTTTTCTTGTCTCCAGAGCCTTTGCACATGCTATTCCTCCTGCCTGGAACACTGTTCCCTTCCCTCCTCCCATGGATACTTCCTTCTCCTTTAAGTCTCATCTCAGATGTCATTTACCCACAGTTCAGTTGGTCTCCAGCAGTTATGCTCTATCTCAGGCCCCTCTTTTCACAGCATTTATTGTTCTTTGCATTTGTTTTTATTTATCTGCTTACTTAATTTTGCCTATCTCCTCGTCTGCCTCCTTTGTTGGAATGTAAGCTGCATGAGAGCAAGGATTTTCTGTCTTATTTGCAGTTGTATTTCCTGCACCTTAAACAACAGGTTCTTTTTACACACACACACACACACACACACACACACACACACACACGATGTGTTCTCATCAGTCCAGTTGAATGAATGGCTCACAAGATCCCGCCACCGCACTCCTGCAGAGTACCAGCCCAGGGATGGCTCCCACTAGGAGCTTCCCCTAGCATGGGCTTCTGTGCTCACTGTGGGCCTCCCCCCGCCCCCCGGCCCCCTCCTCTCTCTGTGGCAGGAATTTCCATGTCTGGAATGAGAGCTGGTTTGCCCGGCAGGACCTGGGCCCCTCTTACAATGGCTGGCAGGTTCTGGATGCCACCCCCCAGGAGGAGAGCGAAGGTATGGGCTCAGCCGGGTGTGTCCCAGACCCCTGCTTCTCCTCACGCGCGCTGCTCACCCCACCCCTCCCGCCCAGGCGTGTTCCGGTGCGGCCCGGCCTCGGTCACCGCCATCCGTGAGGGCGACGTGCACCTGGCCCACGACGGCCCCTTTGTGTTTGCGGAGGTGAACGCAGACTACATCACGTGGCTCTGGAACGAGGATGACAGCAGGGAGCGTGTGTATTCGGACACCAAGAAGATCGGGAGGTGCATCAGCACCAAGGCTGTGGGCAGCGACTCCCGCGTGGACATCACGGGCCTCTACAAGTATCCAGAGGGTAAGGGTGGCGAGGTGGCCTCCGCCAGCCTCCCCGATGACCCGGCCTCTGCGGAGGGACAACGTGGGTGGGGGGCCCTTTCCCGGATGCTCTGATGGTGGCGGCATCCTTCAGCACTGGCTCTATTAACAGCTTCCTCTGCTTTCTACGATTTCCCTCATCTAATGATAATAACAGCTGCATGTCCTTGAACACTTACCATGTGCCAAGCACTGTATGAGCTATGTTCACATATAATAGTAATTACTGTAAACACAGTGATGATAGTAGTAGATTTTTTTTTTTAATTTGAACATCTAGGATACTTAGCCCTAGGGCCCAGTTCAAAATTAATAATCCTATATAATAAAAGTATCAGGCCTCGCATGACGTCATCGCAAGATGGCCGCCATAAAATGGTCGCGCACACAGCAGAGGTGGAGCCTGGTGGCCACTCCGTGTGGTGATGCCTGGGGGTCCTGCAGCTCTGTGTGGTGCCGAGGAGGCAGGTCCCATCATCTCTGCCACCTGGCACGCACGGAGGAGGCGGGGTGCAGCAGGGGAGGGCAGTTGGGGGCCATCAGGCCGGCAGGGGAGTAGATAGGTGTCAATCAAACTGGCTGGGGAGCCGTTAAGGGGTGATCAGGCTGGCAGGTAGAAGTGGTTAGGGGCAATCAGGAAGGCAGGCAGGCGAGCAGTTAGAAGCCAGCAGTCGCAGACTGTGAGAGGGATCCCACATTAGAGAAGTACAGTGTGGGTTGAGGGACATACCCCCCAGGCACCGAATTTCATGCACCGAGCCTCTAGTAATAATAATGACAATAACAGCAGTGCCTGTTTATCATCTGCCAAAGCCTATGCCGTGGTCACTAATTTGTGCTCTCTCTCCTTTTCTCTCTAAAAAGGAGATATATATAGGGATATATATATATATATATATATATATATATATATATATATATATCCCTAGCCGGTTTGGCTCAATGGATAGAGCATGCAAACTGAAGGGTTTCAGATTTGATTTCAGTCAGGGGCACATGCCTGGGTTGCAGGCTCCATCTCCCTGCCGGGGCATGCAGGAGGCAGCCAATCTAGTGATTCTCTGTCATCATTGATGTTTCTATCTCTCTTCCTTTCTCTTCCTCTCTGAAATCTATAAAAAATATTTTAAAAAAAACAATCAATAAATAACATTTTTAAAGTTATTTCAATGGTCCAGAACCAAACATGTGGCTGAGGCCTGCATATGGCTGAGGCCTGCATATGGCTCTTGGGCTGCCTATGTGAGACCCCTGGCAGCCTGGGAAATTAAAGTGGTTCTGCCTAGGGAAGCGGGGACGGGGGAGAAGGGGGCTGGATCTGAGCGGTGCGGTGCCCCGCAGGGTCCCGGAAGGAGAGGCAGGTGTACAGCAAGGCCGTGAGGAAGCTGTTCGGAGTGGAAGCCTCTGGAAGGAGGGCCCGGGTCCGCAGGGGCGGCGGCCGCGGTCTCTGGCGCGAAGACCTCCTGGAGCCCGCCACCAAGCCCAGCATCACGGGCAAGTTCAAGGTGCTGGAGCCGCCCATGCTGGGCCACGACCTGAAGCTGGCCCTGAGCCTGACCAACCTCACCTCCCGGGCCCAGCGGGTCCGAGTCAACCTGAGCTGTGCCACCATCCTCTACACCCGCAGGCCGGTGGCCGAGATCCTGCGGGAGTCCCACCCCGTGCGGCTGGGGCCCGAGGAAGGTAAGACCGCCCTGTCCGGTGGGACCTGGCCACCCCAATTCCTTCTCCAGGAGGGTCGGGGCGGGGCTTGACTTCCCATAATCCTACCTTCGTTCCCAGGAAAGAAGAGGGAATGTGGTGATGTTGCTCAGTGCCTTGCCTCTGGTCTGCTCTTCCCAGAGGAGAAAACTGAGGTTCCGAGGGGCTGACTAATGAGAATAGTAATGAAAGTCCACAGTCGTCTGGTGGCAAACTGACCTAATGGTGAGACGAGTTAGCGACTCTATTCATCAAATTGGTATAAATAGTTACATGCCGAATAAACACCTGCTGGAGGCATTTCAGGCCCCATGGAATATGCTTGTGTCGCCTTCTTCGGTCCAGGTGCCCTGCCTGAGAGGGGTGGGTGAGTGAGAGATGTTTATTAAGTGCTGACACATGCCAGGCCCTGTCCTGAGAATTCAACTCACACCCAGAAAGGTGAACTCACAAGTCCAAGGTCATGCAATCGGTCTGTGTAGAGGCAGGACTCACAGCCGTCTGGCTAAGAGCCCACAGCAAAGCCAGGGCACGTGGCGCAGCTGGCCCGGTCGCCTGAGTGCAGGCCTCGGAGGGTGGGTGCAGTAAGCCCACAGGAACTATGCTTAATGTGTCTGAAATGCACCCTTGATATTTTGAACCAAAACATCGTCCTTTTGAAGTTTTTTTTTGCACAATTTTAAGTTAACTTTATTCTAACTGCTTTTAAATATATGTATTTCAGGGATTTTTAATTTTTTTATTTTTTTAAAATATATTTTATTGATTTTGTACAGAGAGGAAGGGAGAGAGATAGAGGGTTAGAAACATCCATGAGAGAGAGTCATCGATCAGCTGCCTCTTGCACACCCCCTACTGGGGATATACCCCCAACCAAGGTACATGCCCTTGACCGGAATCAAACCTGGGACCCTTCAGTCCCCAAGCTGACGCTCCATCCATTGAGCCAAACCAGTTTTGGCATATTTGAGGGATTTTTTAAATAATCTTTACACCTAGCACTTCATCTATGATTTACTAAATGTAGGCCATTTAATTATTCTTTCTCTTTTTCCTACTCTCTCTCCCTCCCTACCTCTCTGTCTTTATCTGTCTCTTCACATACCTTCTGAACTCTAAGGATTTAATTAAACAAAGAAACTGTTGCTCTGGGCCAGTGTCTGGTGAGTGAAACTGGTGTATCTTGACGAGGCGTGAAAGCGTATGAAGGAGGTGTCATTTAATGTTCATGAAATCTAAATCACACTTTATAATGAAATATTAACTAACGTATACTTTCTCCCGGCTTTTAGCAATTTTTTTCATTTTGGAAGGAACACACCGTCATTAATGACTGAGAGCACACGAGAGAAAGATCACCTATGATCCTGCCGCCCACCCCCAAATGAACATGCTTTCCTCCCAAATTTTTATGCCTGTTTGCTTTCTGGAAAACATAGTTTTAATGATATTGCAAATACTCATGGCTGCCTTGCTCTTTACACTTTACATTGTAATTTAAATTTTATAAGCCTTTCATTAACATCACTTTAATAGATGTGTAATCTGTAAAATATATGGTGATATTTTTTATCTCTTTCCCTCTTTTGGGTAGTAATCAGCTTATTGCTATTTAAAAATACACACACTAAGGTAAACAACTTGATGCAAAAAAATATCCTTTTTCTCACCTGAATTTTTTTTTTATTATTTTGTTAGAATACATTCACAAACATGGAATTACTGAGCTAAATGGTATGTCTATTAAAGTATAAAATGTATCAACATTTATCATTTTTTGATTCCTGGATATTTTTAGCAGTTTTAGATTTACAGAAAATTTGAGTAGAAAATACAGAGATCCCATACTCCCCCTCACCACCTCCCATCTTTCCCTATTATTAACATCTTGCTTTATTGTGGAACATTTATTATAATTGATGAGCTAATATTGATACACTATTTATAACTGAAGTCCATAGTTTACATTAGGACCCACTGTATTGTACAGTCTATGAATTTTGACACATGTATAAATGACATGTGTTCTCCACTGGAATATCACACAGAATAGTTTCACTGCCCTAAAATTGCAAGGTTATTTTTTTTTTTTGGGGGGGGTTGTTTTGTTTTGTTTTGTTTTGTTTTGTTTTGTTTTTACCAACTCATTCTTTCCCCCCTCTCCTTGAATCCCTGGCAACCACTGATCTGTTTACTATCTCTGTAGTTTTGCCTTTTTGAGAATGTCCTACAGTTAGAATCATAGAGCCTTTTCAAATTGGTTTCTTTCATTTAGAAACATGTACTTAAGATTCCTCCATGTTTGTATGTGGGGAGGAGGATTGGTAGATAATTTTTTATTAGTGCTGAATAATATTCCATTATATAGATACTAGAGGCCTGATGCACGAAAATTTGTGTAAGAGTAGGCCTTCCTTCCCCTGGCTGCCGCACCAGCTTCCCTCCAGCACCCAGGACCCCGGCTTCCCTCCTCCGGCTGCCCGCAGGCACCCAGGCTGGCTTCCCTCCTGCCCCAGCTTTATCGGGAAGGATGTCCAGAATGACGGCTGGTCTAATTAGCATATTACCTTTTTATCATTATAGATACCACAGTTTATTTATCCATTCACCTGCTGAAGGGCAGACTTCTTGGTTGCTTCCAAGTTTTAGCAACTATGAAGAAAGTTGCTATAAACATCTGTGTGCAGGTTTTTGTGTGGACAGTTTTCAACTTTTTTGGGTAAAAACCAAGGAGTGTGATTATTGGATAGTGTAAGAGTATGTGTAGTTTTCTAAGAAACTGCCAAGCTATCTTTCAAAATGCCATTTTGCATTTCCACTAGCAATGAGCAAGAGTTCCTGCTGCTCTACATGTTCTCCAACACTTGGTGTTGTCACTACTTAGGATTTTTGCCATTCTAGTAGGTGTGTAGTAGTATCTCATTGTTGTTGACATTTGCAGTTCCTTAATGATTTAGGATGTTGAGCATCTTTTCATATACATCTGTATAGGTTCTTTAGTGAGGTGTCTGTACAGATATTTTGCACATTTTTTAATTGTGTTGCTCATTTTCTTATTGTTGACTTTTAGGGTACTTGGTATATTTTGGATAGCAGTTCTTGATCAGATATATCTCTTTTTTATATATGTTTTCTTGATTTAAAAAAATTGCTTTATCTTCTTTTTTTAAAAATAAATTTTATTGATTTTTTTTTACAGAGAGGAAGAGAGAAGGATAAAGAGTTAGAAAGATCGATGAGAGAGAATCATCTATCAGCTGCCTCTTGCACACCTCCTACTGGGGATGTGCCCGCAACCAAGGTACATGCCCTTGACCGGAATCAAACCCGGGACCTTTCAGTCCGCAGAACGACACTCTATCCACTGAGCCAAACCAGTTTTGGCTATTTTCTTGATTTTTTTACAAAGAGGAAGGGAGAGAGATAGAGAGTTAGAAACAACAATGAGAGAGAAACATTGATCAGCTGCCTTCTACACACCCCCTTCTAGGGATGTGCCCACAACCAAAGTACATGCCTTGACCTGAATGGAACCTGGGACCCTCCAGTCTGCAGGCCGATGCTCTATCCACTGAGCCAAACCAGTTAAGGCTATCAGATATATCTTTTGCAAATACTTTCTCCCAGTCTGTGGCTTATCTTCTCATTCTCTAAACAGTGTCTTTCACAGAGCAGAATTTTATAATTTTCATGAAGTCCAACTTGTCAATTTTTTCTTTCATGGATTGTGCCTTTAGTGTTATATCTAAAAAGTCACCACTAGACCCAAGATCTCTAGGTTTTCTCCTAGGAATTTTATAGTTTTGCATTTTACACTTAAGCTTATTATTTTTTAACTCATTTTTGTAAAGAATATAAATCTGTGTCTACATTTATTTACCAGTATGTTTGTTTACCTATTTGTATTTGAATGTCCAGTTAGTTCAGCATTATGTTTTTAAAAAACTATAATTTCTTCATTTACTTCCTTTGTGACTATATTTATGGGGCTCTATTTCTGGACTATCTATTCTGTTCCATTGATGTAGTTGCCTGCTCTTTACCAGTACCACTGTTTTGATTACTGTAGCTTTTAGTGAATCTTGAAGTCAAGTAGTACTGGTCCTTTGATCTTATTTTCCTTCAATATTACCTTGACTGTTCTGGATCTTTTGCCTCTCCACATAAATTTTAGAATCAGTTTTTCAATATCCATGAAATAACTTACTGGGATTTTGATAGGTTTGCCTTAAATATAGATCAAGACATCTCAATAATATTGGGTCTTCCTATCCATGAACATTGACTAACTCTCTATTTGTTTATTTGTTTGACTTGTTTCATCAAAGTTTTGTTCTTTCCTCATATGAAAGATCTTATACACATTTTGTCAGATTAATGCCCAAGTATTTCTTTTTGGGATGCTGTGTAAATGGTATTGTGTTTTTAATTTCAAATCTCACTTCATTGCCTGTTTATAGGAAAGTGATTGTAGCCGAAACTGGTTTGGCTCAGTGGATAGAGCATGGGTTTGCAAACTGAAAGGTCCCAGGTTCAATTCTGGTCAAGGGCATGTGCTTAAAATTGCGGACACATCCCCAGTAGGGGGTGTGCAAGATGCAGCTGATTGATGATTCTCTCCCATTGATGTTTCTAACTCTCTATCCCTCTCTCTTCCTCTCTATAGAAAATCAATAAAATACATTTTTTTTAAAAGAAAGTGATTGTATATTGATCATATATTCTGTGTGACCTTGCTGTAAACACTTATTAGTTCCAGGATTTTTTTGTTGTTGTTCTTTTAAATCCTGTGCATAGATAATCATGTCATCTGTGAAAAGTTTTCTTTCTTCCTTCCTAATCTGTATGCTTTTTATTTCCTTTTCTTGTCTTATTGCCTTAGCTGGGACATTCAGTACAATGTTAAAAAGGGGTGACAAGAGGGGACATCCTTGCTTTGTTCCTAATCTGAGTGGGAAAGCTTTGAGTTTCTCGCCATGAAGTATTCTGTCAGCTGTAGGTATTTTGTAAATGCTCCTTGTCAAAGTTCTCAGGGAACAGAGAGTGTGAGCCAAGTTCAAGCCTTTAAGGACCTTTTCCACAGGTTTAACACTCAGGGATAGGGAGGACACGGAAATAAAGAAAGCAGTGGCAATAGAGCAGTAGAGGATGGTAGGGTCAAACAAACTTGGAAGGACATGGTACACCTAAATAATAATTATATATGTATGTCAAAAAATAGCCCAAATATGACTGACAGTCAGATAAGGTCTGTGGTAATCTATAGTCACAAGAAGAGAATACATAGGTAGTGTGTTTGTGGCTGGTGAGAGAGACAGAGGTAGCCAGGACCAGAGGAGCTTAAAAGGCAGCGAGCACAAGATCACTGGGTGGCGGTATCAGTGAAGGTTTTTCATTATTGGTGGGGCTGGTTAGGACTGGGCCTTCCTGGGGAGGGAGGATTTGGAGAACTGAAGAAATTGGCCTCCTCCCTCGATCAGAAGCTTGAGACAGGTCTTTGGTCTCCCTCTTCTCTGCACCTACCTCATAACAGGGGCATAATAAACAGTGAGTGAATTCCTTACGGGATGAGTGATTGATTAACTGAAAGATTTCCATCTGGAATGACTAGGGAAAGTTTAAAGACATTTCCAGGAACTCTTAGAGAGACAATCCGATGTCATGGTAACTAACTGGCCTGAATTTGAATTCCACCTCATCTAGCTCCTTGATTCACTTGCCAGTTGACATTGGACAAGAAATTACCCTCTCTGAGCCTTAGGTGTCTTCATCTGCGAACTGATAATGATAATGCCTGCTTCCAATTGAATGCAAGGACCAGAAAGGGTATAACTATGAATTGAACATTCCCTTCCTCTTTCTGGGTCCCGTTGAAAAAGAACATTGGATTCCCAATTCCCACCTCTGCTTTCCCTTCCAGAGAAAAAGATCCCAATCACAATATCTTACTCTCAATATAAGGAAGACCTGACAGAGGACAAAAAGATCCTGTTGGCTGCCATGTGCCTTGTCACCAAAGGAGAGAAGCTCCTGGTAGAAAAGGACATTACTTTGGAGGACTTCATCACCATCAAGGTGACCCCTGTCTGCATCCACCACTCTGTTCCTGGCCAAGCTGTGGGAAGAAATGAGAAGCTGGAGGGAGTGTGTGTGTGTGTGTGTGTGTGTGTGTGTGTGTGTGTGTGTTTGCGCATGTGCGTTTTTGGCTCTGGCTTCAACTCTCAAGAGTGGGAGAAATAGCATGGATGCAGGGGGATGGATATAATGATGGAGCTAGGTAGCTGGGTGTGTGAAAGCAAGGGGTAGAGATGATTTTGCCCCATTCTCTGACCCACCAGGACCATGGATTTTCCTGGGGAAATGAGGATGAGAAGGGATAATTTTATGGGTTTTGCCCCTCCAGGTGCTGGGCCCGGCCATGGTAGGGGTAGCAGTTGTCGTGGAAGTGCTGGTGGTCAACCCCCTCTTGGAAAAAGTAGAAGACGGTATGCTGATGGTAGAGGGCAGTGGCCTTCTCCAGGGACAGCTCACCATTGAGTAAGTGCCAGCCTGGGGAGGGTGGATATAGGGGGAGGGCTGCCATTCTTATAAGATGGGCTATAGAGAAGCTGCTAGTGTGGCCTTGATCTTGAGGTTTCTGGAGAGCCACGGACTGGCAGGCCAGCTCAGGAATGGGAGAGGGCTGACGGTCTGCTTTTCTCCTTTTCCCTTTCCCCAGTGTACCCAGCCTGGAGCCCCAGGAGAGGGCGTTGGTCCAGTTCCACATCACCCCCTCCAAGAGTGGCCTAAGGCAGCTGCAGGTGGACTTTGTCAGCCCCCAGTTCTCAGACATCAAGGGCTTTGTGATCATCAACGTGGCCACAGCCAAGTGATGGGCCACAAGTGGGTGAGAGCGGAGGAGGTGGCTCTCGTGCCTCTCTCATTCACCTTTTTGCCTCTGCCATGAGGAAGCCAGGAGCCGTGGGTTCAAGTCCTGCTTCAGCTTCTGCCCCACTCTGTGAACTTGGGCAAGACCCTTCCCCTCTTGGGCCTTGGTTTCCTGTCTGTAAAATGAGGTCTTAGACTCAGTAATCCTTAAGCTTTTGGGCAATCGTGGATTGTGTAAGGAGCCTTTACCATCTTCACCTCATCACCCTGGTTGCTGGAGGCTGACAGACCAAGCAACAGAGTAACCCCAATCCACCCGGCACTGCCACCTCCTGGCAGACAGGTCACTGGCACCCTGGCTGACTCCTGGCTCTCGTTGCTTCTCTCTTAGCTCTTCAATGCTCTGACCACATCCAGACCCAAGACTCTCCTCCTGGCTCTTATAAAAAAAAAACCAAAGTTTTCAAGCTGAAACCTAAATGTTTCTTACATTCCCATTTTACATAGAGTGAAGAGCCTTGAACACAGACTTGCCATTTACACCCTCTAAGTGTTACCCCATAGTCATGTTCCTAAAAAGCATTAGATTTGAAAGGATGGGAGATTTTCTCTCAATGAAGACACAGGCCCAGAATCTGAGGGGTTACTTGTGCCTAGAAGAAGCTGAAGATGGAAAAGGAGCCATTAAGACTGGGTTACATTTGGGTATTCAGCCCCAAATCTGATCTAGTTATGGTTATAAATGATCTCATGCAACCAGCCCAGTGCTGATTTACTCCTTTGAAACCAGGATAGTGTTGACTTTGCAGAGCAACCCCGAGCAGCTTACCGATGCACAGTCACACTCCTAGCATCAAACAGGACGGAGACCCATGGGATGAGGACCAGCGTGAAGACTTCCAGGTTCTGAAGATAACTACACCAGACATGAAAATCAGCTCCAAAATGTCCTACACAGTCAAAGGGATGATAATTAATCATATAACTGAAGTCTAGAGTGAAGGAATAAAATGGAGTCGCAATGGTCCCGCTACTAAATTATTAAAACAAAGTAGACTGAAGCATGAGGAAACAACTGTATTTTTTTAATGTATTTTTTATTTCAGAGAGAAAGGGAGAGGGAGAGAGAGAGAGAGATAAACGTCAACAATGAAAGAGAATCATTGATCGGCTGCCTCCTGCATACCCCTAATGGGGATTTAGTCTGCAACCCGCGCATGTGCCCTTGATGGGAGTCAAACCCAGAACCTTTCAGTCTGCAGGCTGACGCTCTACCCATTGAGCCAAACTGGCTAGGGCAATTCTATTCTATCCTGGGAATTTAAACTTTTGAACTTTCCAGTCCTGCATGAATACCTGGACCCACATCAGGTCATTGTACAACAATGCCTGACTATCCATCATACCCTCTGATTGACTATCTAAGTGAGTTTGAGAAGAAATTGCTTTATTGTCCAGATCACTGGACATACAAAAATTACCATCTCAGACCAACCCATAGGCTAAGAATAGATTCTTCTCAAGAAGGTACTTTTTACTATAAGAACCCTCAGCTTCCCTCCCCCCCTTCAGAACACTCTGAATGTTCTGAGTTGTGTTTCTAGTTTACTAACCGTAAGACCCTTGAATAAATCTTTATTATTTTATTTCTAGTCAAAGCCTCTTGACTCTTTGGAGTGTGTTTGACATCATTTAAGTATGAGCAACAGCAACAAAACGGGCTCATGTACAGTGAGACACCTCCTTGATGCAAACTCAAGTGGGAACAATTATACAGTGGGTCTTTTCAAAAAGGGGGTCAGGCAAACACATGGACAGTCCTTGATGGATGATCCTTGTGGCCCAGGCCTCCATGAAGGCATTTCACTGATGACTCTACACAGCATGGGGGCAGCTTAGAGAACCCAGTTGAGTGGATGCAGACCCTCATGCTGTCTCAGCTCTCAGACTCCCTTCCCACGCCTGGTTTGGATGCTGGTCCCCTGTGAGAGGGGCAGCTGGAGGCTCAGAGCAGGCAGCCACTTCCTCAGGGTTGAGCAATAAGAAGGGGCACTGGGGGCTGAAGACAATGGAGGCGATCTCCCACTTTGGTCCAAAAAACAGTCCTTTCAGCAGGGAGACTGAAATGGTCTCCCCTGGTGGTGGCCCAGATCCTCATTCTCCCAGCAAACGCCATGCCCATCTTCTTCAAACTCAGCTGTCGCAGGTTGAGCTTCCCAGAAAGCTGTCTCTGAGATGGAGTCTAGGGTGCAGGATGCTGATTGAGAGGTGGCCTGGGGATCAACCCCACCCTCAAACTAAGTTCTTACCCGGGACTACGCTCTCATCCCAACCTCAACCTAAGTCCTGACTGCAGACTGGGCCCTCATCCTGGCTTCAGGCTACGTCCTGAACCACTGCTGAGCTCCAATCCTGATCTTTGATTGAGCCCTGAACCCAGGCTGTGCCCTCATTCCAAACAGAACCTGATCCTGGTCTGAGCTCTGATCCCACGCCGAGCCCTCGTCCAGCCTTATCCTGAGATCTGATGTTGATCCGACCCCAGCCAGATCGAGCTCTAGGCCTTGGTTTTGTGTTTCTCATCCACATCTGAGCTTCTCCAATGGGGACCCACACACCGCTCTGGTACTTAAAGTCACTGGGTAAGCAGGTCCTGTCAGCTGGACCAGGGGTCTGAGCTCACCTTCCTTTCCCTCTGAGGTAGCTGGGCAGAAGTATGTGAGAAGTGTGAACCCCTGGGTTCTTCAGCTCTGTCATGCTGTGGGGGGTCTGCTTTCCCAGCCCAGTTACCCAGAGGAAGATATAAAAGCTGGATCTGACCAGGGCCCTCTCCTCCATGCATGTTGATTTTTTCCCAGGTGAAACCAATATATTTTAATGCTTCTTCAACTAAACAACCAAGAACAGCATATGGGCTCTCCATAACCCAACTTTAATTTTGAAGAAAGAAAATCTACAGTTTTCCCGAGGAATCAGGGCTCAGATAATACGTTAGGTATGGTCGCACTGGGGTCATCATATTCCTGAAGCTACTCAAAGGGGCATCCTGCTTTGTTAACCAGCCAAGCAGCAAAAGTGCAAAGTAGGTAGAACTCTTTGCCAGGCTTGGTGGGCAGTGAAAACAGTGTGTGCACGGGAGCCTCAGGATATTCTTTCAGAGGAGTTCCTCCTCCTGGCGAGCAGCCTCAGCTTCTCCGCCAGGTCCTGTGTCACCAGGAACACTGGGCAGGTCGCTTCTGAGGGGGTTTTGTTCGTTTGATAGTTTTTTTGTTTTGTTTTGTTTTGTTTTTGTTTTTGTTAACCCTCGCCTGAGGATATTTTTTCCCTTGATGTTAGAAAGTGAAGAGAGGGAGGGAAGGAGAGAGACACATTGATTGGTTGTCTCCTGCACATACCCCAACCAGGGCCCAGGATCGAACCTGCAACCCAGGTACATGCCTTTGACCAAGAATTGAGCCCATGACTCTTGGATATGCAGGCCGGCACTCTAACCACTTAGGAACACTGGCCAGGGCTGATTGTTTTTTGATTCTTGTTTTTTCATTTTAAGCCTGATTTCCTAGAGGCCAGCCTGGGTTAGCAGGTGATTAGTCAGAGATAGTACTTAAACGCCTTTGCTGATGAATCTGTGGGTAGTTTCAGGAGTGCATTCAAAGTCCAGGCAGTCTACAAGCGGGACCCATCTTTTACATTTCATGTTCACACGATCTCATGTTCTGCTGTGCCCTCTCTGGTCTCTCCTAGGTGCTCACAGCCTTGGGCATGAGCACAGTCTTCCCAACGGCCAGCGATAAGCAGGATCTTGGCAAGACCCACTTCCCAGATGTCTCTGGTTAAATTCCCAGCTGCTCTGTCTGGATGAGGGCCTGCCCCATCAGCATGGAGACCTTAAGTTAGCCATGACAGTGGCCTCTGATTGTTTGCCACTGATAATGCTATTGTGTGTTGTTGTGTTTTTTTTGGGGGGGGGGGATTTTTGTTTAGGGGGGGCGTTTTAAATATGTATTTGATTGCTTTTTTTACAGAGAGGAAGGGAGAAAGATAGTTAGAAACATCGACGAAAGAGAAACATCGATCAGCTCCCTCCTGCACAACTCCTGCTGGGGATGTGCCTGCAACCAAGGCACATGCCCTTGACCGGAATCGAACCAAGGACCTTTCAGTCTGCAGGCCAACGCTCTATCCACTGAGCCAAACCGGCTAGGGCAATGCTATTGTTTTTAATAGCACCCCTGCATTGGGTGCACTATTTAAGACCAAAATGTGGTTGTCACAAGGTAGTGAATTTACTTGCAGCAAGTAAAGGAGACAGGGCATTTATATCCAAAGCTCTGTCTCTCCGAAGGGAGGCTTAGCCGTTGCTTATAAACACTATTTGGTTAATTACACATTGATTTCTTCTTTGTAGTTGGTACATTTATCTGGTTGGGTTGCTGTCATGCTCATCCTGTTTACAGCTGGTCTGTAAAATACTGTGCTATGCTTTAACGTCTAATAAGAACAACATTTAGTAATAACATTTAGAACTGCCCAGACCTTGAGACCTTATCCTACCTAACACCCAAGCATGGAACCTTTGCACTCTTCTCCAGTAAAGTCGATCCCCGTCAGCAGCAGAGCTAAGTCCTCCTGGCCTGCCTTGCCCTGGTAGGACTAGAGCTGAAAAGGGTGTAAAGTGAGGGGAATAACTCTAGGCTAGCATGTTACTGAAGTTTGATAGATTTTCTTAAATAATCCTTCTCAATTTGGTGTGTCACCCTTACTACATCTCAGAATGAATCCCTTATTCCCATCCTCTCCCATTGTACACAGAACATCCCTCCTTCCAGATCTCCAAGTCAAAAACCTTGAAATTATCCTTTATTCCAGTTTCTCTCTCACCTCATTAAATCTAACTGCACATCCTATCAGTTATACCTTCAAAATATTCACCAAGTCCATCTGCCTCTCAACACCACCACTAATCCCTACCTGATCCACCACAGCCTTTTGCTTGGACTATTGC